ACTGCCCCCAGACTTGTCCAGTTTTACCCCCAATCTCCCCTGCTGGCACCGAGTCACAGCCACCGACCCAAATCTCCGCCGTTGCCCTAACATCAGGAATTTTGGTCTAAAATTTGAATTCTTGATCCCTGATCTTTACATTGGGCCCAAATCCAGACATTTTGGTGACATTTGGGGAACGAGGGCACTGAGTGTGGCCCAGAGGAAACATTTGGGACAGAGCCAGAGCAGGGCTGGGACAGAGAGTGAGGAGTGGGGTCAGGGTCTGGGGTTTGGGGGAAGGGTCTGGGGAACGGGGAAAAGGCCAAAAGGATAAACTGGAGCAGCACCCCAATTACCAGCACCAGCAAATTTGGCACAGAAATAGGATCTGGAATCCTCGTCCTTGAGGTTGTTCATGGTCAGCGTCACCGAGCTCTGCCCGTTGTCCCTGGAGATCCTGAACCGGCCCTTGACCGATGGCGCGTTGCAGGTGCTGCCACCAGTGTTGATCCCTGCAACCCACTCTAGCGCCTGCCTGGGTCTCTGGCGGATCCAAAACATGTTGAAACTCCCAAAAGAGAACCCGGACCCTCGGCAGAGGAGGCGCAGGGACCCCCCGGGAGTTGGAGGTCCCCCCCGCACTCCAGCAGGGTCACAGCCGCCCGGAGCCCTGCTGGACAAAGGGGAGATGGGGATGAGGGAACAAATCCACCCAAATGTTAATTCCTGCATGCAGATCCTGATGTTGACCCCAAATTGTGGAACTTTCTCCTCCTCCTGATCCTGCTGCCCCTCCCAGGTTGGTCGAGGTCCCTTTTTGGATCTGGTCACACCCAGCCCAGCCCACGCCCGGATCCGGGGCCTCATTCCCATCTCCCCTTTTTCCCGCAGGGCTCCGGGCGGCCATGACCCTGCTGGAGTGTGGGCGGGACCTCCAGCCCCCCGGGGGTCCTTGCGCCTCCTCTGCCGAGGGTCCGGGTTCTGTTTTAGGGATTTTGGGATGGGCTGGATGCGCCAGAGACCCGGGCAGTGGCTGGAAGCAGTCGCAATAATCAGCAAAATTGGCAGCGCCTACTATGCGGATTCGGACAAGGGCCGGCTCACGCTCTCCAGTGACAACAGGCAGAGTTAGGTGACGCTGACCATGAACAACCTCAAGGACGAGGATTCCGGATCCTATTTCTGTGCCAAATCTCTTTATGCTAGTGACTGTGGCCCTGCTGGTTATGGTGACGATGCCAGTGGTGGATCCACGCACCCATCTCAGTGTCCCCACCTGTCCCCAAACCCCCAACAATTCCCCCAAACCTCAGCCCTGGGCCCATCCCCGCCCGGGGGTCTCTGTCCCAATCCCAAACGGGACAGGGCTGTGGGGACCCCTCTGGAGCCGTTTGGTTTCCCACCATCGCTCTCCTCACCGGGCTGTGGCATTGGGGAGGTGCCGGCGGCTCACGGCCCCGGCAGCACACACAGAACTCAATGGCGCAGCTCACCGCGAGAGGTTTGTGGCCAATCACACAAAGCAAAGGCAGATAGACACGGTGGGGCCATATCGGGACATCCCCGTCAGTTTTGGGGAATTTGGTTGGGACGTGGAGCCCAGAGCTGAGGTTTCGGGCCAGGAGCTGAGACTGGGGCGGACCCAGTTCAGAGCTGGGAGAGGAATGGGGTCGGGGGCTGGGGTTTGGGGAAGGGTCTGGGGAACGGGGACACAGGGGACACAGGGAGAGGGATGGGGACAATACCACAGGCGTCATTAGCAGCAGCATTGTTATAATAACCCTTTGCACAGAAATAGGATCCGGAATCCTCGTCCTTGAGGTTGTTCATGGTCAGCGTCACCGAGCTCTGCCCGTTGTCCCTGGAGATCCTGAACCGGCCCTTGAATGACGGCGCGAACACGGTGTAGGAACCATAGCTGTAGATGCCCACGACCCATTCCAAACCCTGCCTGGGTCTCTGACGGACCCAGCTCATGGACTGACCCCCGAAATTGAACCCAGATGCACGGCACAGCAATGTCAGGGACCCCCCGGGGGACTGGATGTCCCCCCCGCACTCCAGCAGGGTCACAGCCACCCGGAGCTGTGCGGGACAAAGGGGAGATGGGGATGAGGTCAAAGCTCAACCGTTGACCAAAATCCAGAACCTTGGCCCCAAATTCTGAACCTTGGAGTTCATCATCCTCCTCCTATCCCGTTTTCCAGATTGCCACGCCTGCTTTGAGGCCCTGGACCAATCAGGTTTCTCATCCCCACCTGCCCTTTGTCCCGCAGCGCTCTGGGTGCCGTGACCCTGCTGGAGTGCGGGGGGGACCTCCAGCCCCCGGGGGGCCCCTGCGCCTCCTCTGCCGAGGGTCCGGGTTCAGTTTTCGGAGTGTTGCCATGCAATGGGGGCGCCAGAGACCCAGGCTGGGGCTGGAGTGGGTCGGGAGCATCAGGAGCGATGGTTCCGGCACCAACCTCGTGCCATCGTTCAAGGATCGCGTCAGGATCTCAAGGGACAACGGGCAGAGCTCGGTGACACTGACCATGAACGACCTCAAGGGTGAGGATTCCGCTGTTTATTTCTGTGCCAAAGAACCTGGCACTGGTTGTTGGAATGCTGCTGCTGGTTGTCCATTCAGCCTCATCCCTGTCCCCTTGCCCCACACCCTTCCCTCCAACCCCTGACCACATTCCTGACCCTTTGTCCCAATCCTGCCCTGCTCTGGCCCCAGATCTCAGCTCTGTCCCAAAATCAGGGCCGGTTTCACCCTGAGCTCGGCCTCGTCCATGAAATCCCAATCATCGCCCCCAGACTGGACCCATTCTGCCCCAAAATCTCAGTGGTGGAACTGAGTCACAGCCACGGACCCAAATCTGACCCATTTTCCCCAAATCTCGACCATTTGCACCCAGGTTTTGGGACCTTGGTTGAGCCTTGGAGCCCAGAGCTGAGTTTTGGGTCCAGGAGCTGAGATTTGGGGCAGAACCAGTTCAGAGCTGGGACACGGGGACAGGAATGGGGTCAGGGTCTGGGTACTGGGAGAAGGGTCTGGGGAATGAGAATGGAAGTGGGCAGAGCAATGAGGATGGGGTCAACATTATAAGCATTATTCCCTAAATAATTATCAGCAGATCTGGCGCAGAAATAGGATCCGGAATCCTCGTCCCTGAGGTTGTTCATGGTCAGCGTCACCGAGCTCTGCCCCTTGTCCATGCAGATGCTGACCCTGTCCTTGATTGATGGCCCGTAGCCGGCACTGGAACCGTCCCTGTTGATCCCCGTGAGCCACTCCAGCCCCTGACCGGGTCTCTGGCGCATCCAGAACATTCCTTTGCTCCTGAAATCGAACTTGGACCCTCGGCAGAGGAGGCGCAGGGACCCCCTGGGGGGCTGGTCTTCCCCCCCGGCCTCCACCAGGGTCACAGCCGCTCTCCCATCCCCAAACCTTCACTGGTTTTGCCGCAAATTCCCTTTGTCTGGCATGAAATATCCAAGAGAGATTTCCTATATGGAAAAATCCCTTAAACCCTGCAATTAGCCCCAGTCCACCCATTAATTAATTGGACAGCTCTGCCTGACTTTTGCATTGCCTCATCCCCATCTCCCCTTTGTCCCGCAGGGCTCTGGGCGGCCATGACCCTGCTGGAGTGCGGGGGCACCTCCAGCCCCCCGGGGGGTCCCTGACGTCGCTGTGCTGAGGGTCCGGGTTCAGTTTCGGCAGTTCTGACCTGCTCTGAGTCTGACAGAGACCCAGGCAGGGGCTGGAGTGGCTCGCGGGGATCAGCACTGCTGCTTACCCCTACTATGCGCCGTGAGTGCAGGGCCGGTTCACGATCTCCAGGGACAAAAGGCAGAGCTCGGTAACGCTGACCATGAACAACCTCAAGGATGAGGATTCTGTCATCTATTTCTGCGCGAAGTGTCATTTTGCTGGTCGTAATTACCAAGTTTATGGTATTGGTGCTGGTTTCAGGCCGGCCTTTGTTGTTGGGTCCCCAGATGTCCCCAACCCACTGACCATTCTCCCAAACCTCACCCATTGACTCAGATCTTCACCCTTTGTCCCTATTGCCCCAATGGAAGGCACTGACCCCAAACCCTCCCCTGCTCCTGCCCCAAAACTCAACCATTGGCCCCAAACCTTCACCCCTGGGCTTCAGTTCAGGCTTCCTCCAATCAGGGCCCAGGGAGCTGGGGGAGATTTGGGTGAAATGGGCAAAACTGGGGGAAAGTGTAGGGTTGAGGCAGCAGGGGCGGAGTTTGGGGGAAACTCTTTAAAACTTGAGGAGAAAAGCTGGGCTCTGGAGGAAGGATCACTGGGAGTGGAGATATCTGGTGACCATCCTCGGGCTGGGGCCACTGCTGGAATTGTCACTAAAAGCAGCAACACCACCACCATAACTTCTACTAGTGCATTTGGCGCAGAAATAAACGGCGGAATCCTCGTCCTTGAGGTTGTTCATGGTCCGCGTCACCGAGCTCTGCCCGTTGTCCCTGGAGATCGTGAACCGGCCCTTGACCGACGGCGTGTAGTAGGTGCAACCACCAGTGTTGCTGATACTGGCGATGTATTCCAGCATCTGCCCGGGTCTCTGGCGCATCCAGCACATCCCAAAACTGCCAAAATCAAACCCAGATGCACGGCACAGCAACGTCAGGGACCCCCCGGGCTGCTGGTTGTCCCCCCCGCACTCCAGCAGGGTCACGGCCGACCGGAGCCCTGCGGGACAAAGGGGAGATGGGGATGGGGCAAAGCTCAACCCTTGACCAAAATCCTGACTCTGGGCCCCAAACTGGGCACCATGGAGTTCATCATCCTCCACCCATGTGAGTCCTGCCCCATTTTTGAAGCATGCCATGTGAAGTTGGGCACTCTTGACCACTCAGGTTTCCCATCCCCATCTCCCCTTTGTCCCGCAGGGTTCCGGGCGGCCGTGACCCTTTTGGAGTGCGGGGGGGACCTCCAGCCCCCCGGGGGGTCCCTGCGCCTCCTCTGCCGAGGGTCCGGGTTCAGTTTCGGCAGTTCCACCATGCTCTGGATCCGCCAGAGACCCCGAAAGGCGCTGGAATGGCTCGTGGGGATCACCAGTGGTGGCACCACCGCCTACGCGCTGCCTGTCAAGGGCCGGGTCACGATCTCCAGGGACAACAGGCAGAGCTCGGTGACGCTGACCATGAACAACCTCAAGGTCGAGGATTCCGGATCCTATTTCTGCGCCAAATCTGTTGATGATGGTACTGGCTGGGAGACTGTTGCCTATCGTGTTGACCCCATGTCCTTTAGCAGAGTCCACAGAGATTGCGAGAGCTCCATGCAGGATTGAGACGTAACAGCTGGAACTGCTCAGTCATGATGGAACAGCAAAATAATCTCCTGTCTTCTGCCTCTCACACCAGAGCTTCTCTCTCTAACCCCATTGGTGACTTCTCCCTGACCCTCACTGTTGCACATGTTTGGATCCCCCTGTACCCTATAAAATGGGCTGGTTTAGCATATCTGACAGGAGAATTGCTGTCACTGCAATCCCTCACAGATCCCTCAATGAACCATGGCTGTGGAAACACCAGGACCTCTCCTTGTCCTCTCTGTCTGTCTGGTTCTGCCCCAGCCAAAGGCGCCCCAGCGAATGAGCAAAGAGCTGGAATCCTGAGAGCTGAGAATCACGAAAGAGCTGAAATCCTGAGAGAGTTGATAATCACGAAAGAGCTGAAATCACTATATAGCTGAAATCCTGAGGGAGCTGAGAATCACTAAAGAGCTGAAATCACTGAGCTTGCTGAGATGGTGGCATCTCTGAGCTGATTGGGTGTTGGTGCTCTCTGTCTCCAAGATTTATCCAGATTGGCCTGCATGGCTCGGGGATCAGCCAAATCAGATATCTGGGTCTTATCAGGGTTGGGACAAGGAGACAGGAACGGGGTCAGGGCTTGGGGTTTGTGGGAAGGGCCTGGGGAATGGGGACAGGAGGGGAGCAAGGGCACGGGGACGAGGCCAAACTGATAAGCATCATCATAAGCCCAATTATCACCATAAGCACGTTTGGCACAGAAATAGATGGCGGAATCCTCATCCTTGAGGTTGTTCATGGTCAGCGTCACCGAGCTCTGCCCGTTGTCCCTGGAGATCGTGAACCGGCCCTGCACCGACGGCACGTAGTAGGTGTAAGCACCATTGTACCTGATCCCCGCGACCCATTCCAGCCCCTGCCCGGGTCTCTGTCGAGCCCATTCCATTTCAAAACTGCCGAAACTGAACCCGGACCCTCGGCAGAGGAGGCGCAGGGACCCCCCGGGGGGCTGGAGGTCCTCCCCGCACTCCAGCAGGGTCACGGCCGCCCAGAGCCCTGCGGGAAAATGGGGAGATGATGGAAATGAGACACCTGATTGGTCAAGGGCCCCTAAGTTGGGGTGGCCAGCTGGACAAAGGGGTGGAATCCACCAATGAGGAGGATGATGAACTCTAAATATCCCAGTTTGGGGCCAAGAGTCAGGATTTGGGTCAAGGGTTGAGCTTTGGCCTCATCCCCATCTCCCCTTTGTCCCGCAGAGCTCCGGGCGGCCGTGACCCTGCTGGAGTGCGGGGGGGACCACCAGCCCCCCGGGGGGTCCCTGACATTGCTGTGCCGAGGGTCCGGGTTCAGTTTTGGGAGTTATGGAATGTACTGGATCCGCCAGAGACCTGGGCAGGGCTTGGAATACGTCGCAGGCATCTACAACACTGGTGGCACCACCTACTACAATCCATCGGTCAAGGGCCGGTTGAGGATCTTCAGGGACAACGGGCAGAACTCGGTGACGCTGACCATGAACAACCTCAAGGACGAGGATTCCGCCACCTATTTCTGTGCCAAGAGTGCTGGTGCTTGTTGGGCTGAAAGTGCTCATCGTATTGACGATGGCCTTGCTGTCCCCATCCCCATCCCCGTGTCCCCCCCCTGTCCCCGTTGCCCAGATCCTTCACCCAAACCCCCAGCCCACACCCAGCCCTTGACCATTGATCCCAACCTTGCTCTGCCTCGGATCCAGTTCTCACCCGCTGACCCCAAACCACAACTCCTGACCCCAAATCTCCTCTTTCTTCCCCAAAACCTTGTTATAAAAGTGGATACTTCAAGCCAAGGGTTAAGTTTTGGGTCAAATTTTTGGCAATGTGCAGAGAGCGGATTTCGGGCCGAACCACTCCAAGACTGGGACATGGGGACAGGAATGGGGTCCAGGCTTGGAGTTTTGGGGGAGGGTCCAGAGAATGGAGATAGGTGGGGACCGGGGAACAGGAACACGGCCAAATGCAACCGAAACATAAGAGTGACCAATACCTGCAGCAGCATTCCAACCAGCAGTACCAACAACACTTCTGCCACAGAAATAGGATCCAGAATCCTCATCCTTGAGGTTGTTCATGGTCAGCGTCACCGAGCTCTGCCTGTTATCCCTGGAGATCGTGAACTGGCCCTTGACTGAATCCGCGTACCTGGTGCTGCCACCATCGTTGCTGATACTCGTGAGCCTCTCCAGCCCCTGCCCGGGGTCTCTGGCAATACCAGCTCATGTGGAAACTGCCAAAATTGAACCCGGACCCTCGGCACAGCAACGTCAGGGACCCCCCGGGGGGCTGGAGGTCCCCACCGCACTCCAGCAAGGTCACAGCCGCCGGGAGCCCCGCGGGACAAAGGGGAGATGGGGATGAGAAACCTGATTGGTTCAGCGCCGAAAAGCGGGTGTGGCAAACTGGAAAAAGGGATGAAACGCACCTGGGAAGAGGATGATGACCTCCAAGGGTCCCAATTTGGGGCCACGAGTCAGGATTTGGGTCAAGGGTTGAGCTTTGGCCTCATGCCCATCTCCCCTTTGTCCCGCAGGGCTCCGGGTGGCCGTGACCCTGCTGGAGTGCGGGGGGGACTTCCAGCCCCCCGGGGGGTCCCTGCGCCTTCTCTGCTGAGGGTCCGGGTTCAGTTTCGGCAGTGTCTCCATGCACTGGGTGCGCCAGAGACCCGGGCAGGGTCTGGAGTGGCTCGCAGGGATCTACAGCAGTGGCAGCACCTACTATGCGGATTCAGTCAATGGCCGGTTCATGATCTCCGGGGACAACGGGCAGAGCTCGGTGACGCTGACCGTGAACGACCTCAAGGATGAGGATTCTGGATCCTATTTCTGTGCCAAAAATATTGATAATAATTTTTGCAGTGCTGGTGCTCCTCTTGATCCATCTGATCCCATCATCGGGTCCCCATCCGTCCCCATTTCCCAGACTCTTCCTCCATTCCTGTCCCCCTGTCCCAGCTCTGAACTGGCTCTGCCCCAATCTCAGCTCTTGCCACCAAATCTCAGCACTTGGCTCCCATGCTCAATGAAGGTCCCCAAACCTGGGTGCACATGGTCGAGATTTGGGGAAAATGGGCCTGATTTTGTTCCGTGGCTGTGACTCAGTTCCACCACTGCAGTTTTGGGACAGAACGGGTCCAGTTGGGCAAAAATCATTGGGATTGGATGGACGAGGGTGAGCTCAGGGTGAAACCGGCCCTGATTTTGAGCCAGAGCTGAGATCAGGGCCAGAGCAGGGCATGCTTGGGACAAAGGGTCAGGAATGTTTTCAGAGGTTGGAGAGAAGGGTCTGGGGCAAGGGGACAAGGACGAAGCTGAAAGGACAACCAGCAGCAGCATTCCAACCACCAGTGCGTGGTTCTTTGGCACAGAAATAGGATCCAGAATCCTCGTCCTTGAGGTTGTTCATGGTCAGCATCACCGAGCTCTGCCCGTTGTCCCTGGAGATCCTGACGCGATCCTTGAACGATGGCGCGAGGTTGGTGCCGGAACCATCGCTCCTGATGCTCCGGACCCACTCAAGCCCCTGCCCGGGTCTCTGTCGGACCCATTGCAGGGCAACACTCCCGAAACTGAACCTGGACCCTCGACAGGGGAGGCGCAGGGACCAGGGAGGCTGGAGGTCCCCCCCGCACTCCAGCAGGTTCTTGGCCATTCCCACAAACCCAAACCTTCACTGGTTTTGCCCCAAATTCCCTTTGTCTTGCCCCAAATCTCCCACAGATATTTCCAGTATTGTAAAGTTTCTTCAGCCCTGCAATTAGCTCCGATCCACCCATTAATTACTTGGACAGCTCTGCCGGAGTTTTGCATCTCGTCATCCCCATCTCCCCTTTGTCCCGCAGGGCTCCAGGCGGCCGTGACCCTGCTGGAGTGCTTGGGTCATCTCCAGCCCCCCAGGGAGGTCCCTGCGCCTCCTCTGCCGTGGGTCTGGGTTCAGTTTTGGCAGTTTTGGGATGCAGTGGTTGCGCCAGAGACCTGGGCAGGGGATGGAGTGGCTCGCGGGTATCAGGAACGATGGTGCTTACAACAACTACGCGCCGTCGGTCAAGAGACGGTTCAGGATCTCCAGGGACAACGGGCAGAGCTTGGTGACGCTGCCCATGAACAACCTCAAGGACGAGGATTCCGGATCCTATTTCTGTGCCAAATGTCAAAGCACTGGCTGTGGTAATGGTGCTTATGCTTATGTTGTTGATGGTGGTTGTGGTCCCAAGCCCTTTTTTCTGTGTTCCCAAGTATCACAGAATTCTCTGATCCTTCCCCAAAATCCTGGCTCTTTTTCTCACATCTCAGATATTTTCCCCCAAACTACGCAATCACTTCCCCAATTCAAAGTTTCCCCGCCAATTTTGCCCATTTCTCCCCCGTCTGGCCCTTCCCCTCCGTCCCAGTGCGGAACACGCATCGCTCCAGGGCCCTTTGCACACAAAGCTTTTTGTGCAGCCGGCGCTCTGCCGCAGCGCCCCGAGGCTGAGCTGCCCTCTGCCAGACACAGATGTTCACCATGACCAAAACCAGGAACTTTCTGTTTCCTTTCCCGCCCTGGCCGGGACCCGGCAGCTGCCGGGGTGGAAGTGGGGGGAGGCTGCGGAGCCCCAAAATCGCGGCGTCTGCTCCTCCCTTCCACCGTCGCTCGCTCCCACCTGGGGCTTTACTGCTCCCTCAGCGGCCGTGGTGTCTGGGGCTGCTCCTTGGGGCTGGGCTGGAATCCTCTCTGGGACCTCTGGACATGGTGACGATGCTAGTGGTGGCACCAAACCCCCATCCCTGGTTCCCCAAATGTTCCAAAATCTCTAAATCCTTCCCCAAATCCCAACCCTTGACCCCATTCTTGACCTTCCTCCGCAGTCTCCACCATCTTTTCCCCAACTTTCGACTTTCCCCCAATTTTGCCCATTTCACCCAAATCTCCCCCAGTTCCCATGCCCTGATTGGAGGAGGCCTGAACTGGAGGCCAGGGGTGAAGGTTTGGGGCCAATGGTTGAGTTTTGGGGCAGGAGCAGGGGAGGGTTTGGGGTCAGTGCTGACCATTGGGGCAAATGGGGGAGATTTGGGACAAAGGGTCAAGGGCTGAGGTTTGGGGGGAGGATCTGGGTTTGGGGACAGGGGGGGAACTCTAAGATGGGGACTCAGAAATAAACACTGTGACAACATCACCACAATCACTATCGTCACCAGCAGCAGGAACACAACAATCATCCCAATTTTTGGCACAGAAATAAACAGCAGAATCCGCGACCTTGAGGTTGGCCATGGTCAACGTCATCAGACTCTGCCCGTTGTCCCTGGCGATCATGAACCGGCCCTTGACCGAATCCGTGTACCAGGTGCTGCCACCGCTGCGGATGTAGGCGACGAATTCCAGCCCCTGCCCGGGTCTCTGACGGACCCATTGTAGGGCAAAACTCCTGAAACTGAACCCGGACCCTCAGCAAAGCAACGTCAGGGACCGCCCGGGGAACTGGAGGTCCCCCCCGCACTCCAGTAGGGTCACGGCCGCCCGGAGCCCATCCCCAAATCTTCACCAATTTCACTCATATCTTCACTGGTTTGGTCCCAAGTCTCCACCAGATTTTTCGGGTATCCTGAGGTCCCTCAAACCCTGCAAGTGAACTCAATATTCTCATTAATATTTCGACACCTTTTCCTGAGTGTTCCACATTGATTTCAAACGTAATAGCTTATTAACAACCCCCAAACCCCCTGGGACCCCAACCCACAAAGCCCCTGGGTACAACCCGGCCTTGGCCTTGAGCTCCCTCCGGCTCCTGTGTGGGGAGTGCGGGGGGGACCTCCAGCTCCCCGGGGGGTCCCTGCGCCTCCTCTGCCGAGGGGCCGGGTTCGATTTTGGGAATTTTGCCATGGCCTGGATCCATCAGAAACCCGGGCTGGGGCTGGAGCCAGTCGCAAGTATCAGCAAAGGTGGCAGCACCTACTACGCGCCATCGGTCAAGGGCCGGTTCAGGATCTCCAGGGACAACGGGCAGAGCTCGGTGACGCTGACCATGAACTACCTCAAGGACGAGGATTCCGGATCCTATTTCTGTGCCAAATCTTCTGGTATTATCACTGCTCTTACTGCTATTATTGTTGTTTGGTTTACTGTTTGCGGTTCTCACCCCGTCCCTGTCCCCAGCTGTCCCCAGACCCTTCCCCAAACCCCCCTGACCCACCCCTGAGCCTTTGTCCAAGCCCTGCCCCCTTTGCCCCAATGCTGCCCATTGACCCAAAACCTTGCCCTGGGTCTGGCCCATAACTCAACTCTCGGCCCCAAATCTCCCCCTCGTGCCCCAAAAGCACCCAAAGGGTCGAGATTTGGGGGCAGCAGTTGAGGTTTGGGCCAGCGGCTGGGGCTGGGAGCCCAAAGTGGGGATTTGGGGCAGAATCGGGCAAGTTTTGGTGCCAAAGCAGGAGGGTTTAGGGCAGAACCAGTTTGGGGGTTTGGGGCAGAACCAGTGTTTTGGGGTTTGGGGCAGAACCAGTTTGGGGGTTTTGGCTCAGTGCTTGGTTTTGGACTGGGGCATGGTTCTGGGCAAACTGTCCAAGGGTGAGGATGAGAAGGCTGAGATTTGGGAAAAATGATAAGAACGGAGGGAGAAGTCCAGAGTTGGGGCAGCAATGGCAGAATTTTGGGGAAAAGGACGGAGATTTGGGGAAAAGGGCTGGGATTTAGGGAGGGACCAGAGAATTCTGTGATACTTGGGCACAGAGAGGAGAGGGCCTTGGACCACAGCCACCATCACCATGGTCACCAAAAGCAGTAGCATCATAATCACAACTACTGCCGGAACATTTGGCACAGAAAGAGGATCCGGAATCCTCGTCCTTGAGGTTGTTCATGGTCAGCGTCACCGAGCTCTGCCCGTTGTCCGTGGAGATCGTGAACCGACCCTTCACCGATGGCGCATAGATGGTGGTGGAACCATCGCTCCTGATCCACGCGACGAATTCCAGCACCTGCCCGGGTCTCTGGTGGATCCAGAACATGGCAACACTCCCGAAATTGAACCCAGCCCCTCGACAGAGGAGGCGCAGGGACCCCCCGGGGGGCTGGAGGTCCCCCCCGCACTGCAGCATGGTCACGGCCGCCTGGAGCCCTGCGGGACAAAAGGGAGATGGGGATGAGGCCAAAGCTAAACCCTTGACCCCAAAATCGCAACTATTGGCCCCAGGTTGTGACAATTTGTTCTTCTCCTCCTGCTCCTGGTCCCCTTCCCAGGTGGGTCCTGTTCCTTTCTCCAGCTGGCCACACCTACTTTGGGCCCTCAGCCAATCAGGTTTCTCATCCCCATCTCCTCTTTGTTTGGCAGGGCTCCGGGTGGCCATGACCCTGCTGGAGTGTGGGGGGGAACTCCAGCTCCCCAGGGGGGTCCCTGCGCCTCCTCTGCCGAGGGTCCGGGTTCTATTTCGGGAGTTACCCATTGAGCTGGGTGCGCCAGAGACCCGGACAGGGGCTGGAGTGGCTCGCAGGCATCTACAGCGATGGTTCCTACATCTACTACGCGCCATCGGTCAAGGGTCGGTTCACGATCTCCAGGGACAACAGGCAGAGCTCGGTAACGCTGACCATGAACAACCTCAATGACGAAGATTCCGCCACCTATTTCTGTGCCAAGGGTTTTGCTGGTTATGCTGGTGATAACAATGCCTGCTGTATTGACCCCACCCAATCACTGCATCTCCACCTGTCCCCATTCCCCAGCCCCTTCCCCAGCTCCCAGCCCCTGACCTGGCCCGTGACCATTTCTCCATTTCCCTTTCCCCTCTCCGGCCCCAAACCCCAACCCTTGGCCATTGATCTTCCCCCAAATTCTGCCCCAAAGGTCAGCGCTGGGCCCGGGTCTCTGGACACGTATTCAGTCACCGAGAGCGAGGACGAGGCCAGGGATTTGGGGGAGGGTCTGGGGTGTGGGGACAATTAGGGATGCAAAAAAGGAGGCGGGGCTAAATGCTCCATAACCAGCACCAGCAGCGTCACTACGATCAGCAACAACAGCATTATAACTCTCAGGAGTTTTGGCATAGAAATAGGGTCCAGAATCCTCGTCCTTGAGGGTATTCATGGTCAGCGTCACCGAGCTCTGCCCGTTGTGCCTGGAAATGCTGAACCGGCCGCGGAACAATGACGGGTATCTGGTGTCTCCATCATAGTCAATCCCTACAACGTATTCCAGGCCCTGCCCAGGCCACTGGCGGATCCACATCAGCCTGGATCGTCCGAAACTGAGCCTGGCCCCTTGGCATAGGAGGCGCAGGGACCCCCCGGGGGGCTGGAGTTGCCCCCCACACTCCAGCAGGGTCACGGCTGCCCGGAGCCCTGTGGGACAAAGGGGAGATGATGGAAATCAAAACTCTGATTGGTCAAGGGCCCCCAAGTGGGTGTGGCCAGCTGGACAATGGGGTGGAATCCTCCTGGGAGGATGATGAACTCTAAAGATCCCAATTTGGGGCCAAGGGCCAAGATTTGGGTCAAGGGTTGAGCTTTGTCCTCATCCCCATCTCCCCTTTGTCCCGCAGGGCTCCGGGCGGCCGTGACCCTGCTGGAGTGCGGGGGGGACCTCCAGCCCCCCGGGGGGTCCCTGCGCATCCTCTGCCGAGGGTCTGGGTTCAGTTTTGGGAGCTACGACATGTACTGGATCCGCCAGAGACCCGGGCAGGGGATGGAATGGGTTGCGAGTATCAGCTACAATGGTGGTTGGACCGGGTACGCGCTATCGGTGCAGGGCAGGTTCAGGATCTCCAGGGACAACGGGCAGAGCTCGGTGACACTGACCATGAACAACCTCAAGGACGAGGATTCCGCAGCTTATGTCTGTGGCAAATGTGTTGATGATCGTGATGGTTGGGAGAATGTTGCCTGTCGTTTTTTTTGCCTCATCCCCATCGCTGTTTACCCCATGTCCCCATTCCCCAGACCCTTCCCCAATCCCCAGCCTCTGACCCCATTCCTGTCCCGTGTCCCAGCTCTGAAGTCGTTCTTCCCCAGTCTCAGCTCTTGGCCCCAAACCTCAGCTCTGGGCTCCACGTCCCAACCAAATTCCCCAAAATTGACGAGGATGTCCCAGATCCGGCTCCACCGTGTCAATCTGCCTATGCTTTGTGTGATTGGCCACAAACCTCTCGCGGTGAGCGGCCCCATTGAGTTCTGTGTGTGCTGCCGGGGCCTTGAGCCGCCGACACCTCCCCATGGCCACAGCCCAGTGAGGACAGCGATGGTGGGAAACCAAACGGCTCCAGAGGGGTCCCCACAGCCCCGTCCCGGTGGGGATTGGGACAGAGACCCCCGGGCGGGGACGGGCCCAGGGCTGAGGATTGGGGGAATTGTTGGGGGTTTGGGGACAGCTGGGGACACTGAGATGGGTGCGTGGATCCACCACTTGGGTCTTCACCATAAGCAGCAGGATCCCAATCACTAGCATGAAAAGATTTGGCACAGAAATAGGATCCGGAATCGTCGTCCTTGAGGTTGTTCATGGTCAGCGTCACCGAGCTCTGCCCGTTGTCCCTGGAGATCCTGAACCGGCCCTTGACCGACGGCGCGTAGTCGGTGTAAGCACCATCGTTCCTGATCCCCGCGAGCCACTCCAGCCCCTGTCCGGGTCTCTGGCGCAACCACTGCATGCCAAAACTGCCGAAACTGAACCCGGACCCTTGGCAGAGGAGGCGCAGGGCCCCCCCGGGGGGCTGGAGGTCCCCCACGCACTCCAGCAGGGTCACGGCCGCCCGGAGCCCTGCCGGACAAAGGGGGGATGGGGATGAGAAACCTGATTGGCTGTGGGCCTGCAGTGGGTGTGGCCAGCTGGAAAAAGGGATGAGACCCACCTGGGAGGGTGAACAGGAGCAGGAGGAGAAGGACAAATTGTCACAACCTGGGGCCAATACCTGGGATTTTGGGGTCAAGGGTTGAGCTTTGGCCATCCCCATCTGTGTTGGGATGTGCGGGAGAAACGCGGCATGCGATATGATTGATCAGCAAGTCTCAAATCTTTATTGGTAGGCACGCATCTTTATATCGGTGTTAATGAGGCTCATGCATATTGCAAAGGCAAGCTCACCATTGGTCAGTTACTTATCAGCCAACTGCGCCTCGTTCTGCATTGTTATGGATGTTATATTGAAACTTCTCTTCGTATTTCTGCCAAAGATGTTTTCTCCTATCCTGCTGCTGCACCAAGGGCACAATGACCTTGCCTGTCAATGGACACTGGCTGCTGGCTCCTGTACTTGTAACCTTCAAGCTTGACCAGTGGCATTATGTCAACGTGACCTTTAACAGCCAACCAGCTGTCCACAAAGCTCTCCACATTTCTCCCCTTTGTCCTGCAGGGCTCCGGGCGGCCGTGACCCTGCTGGAGCGCGGGGGGGACCTCCAGCCCCCCGGGGGGTTCCTGCACCTCCTCTGCCGAGGGTCCGGGTTCAGTTTCGGCAGTTTGTCCATGCTCTGGAGGTCGGAGGAAGGAGACCCAGACACCAGTTGGTTCATCCAAGTCCAATTTATTGATCGAATTCGGCGGGTTAAATATAGTTCTTAATAAGCTTCATACATATTGCAAAAGTTGAGCTCAGGATTGGTTAGTTACGTATCAACAACTACACCTACTTCTACATTCTTGTGCTTATTCTTCTGTTACATTCTGCAGATATTCAGGACTAATCTCACCTCCCTTTCCTCATGTTGCAGCAAGGCCATCCGGCATTCTTGCCTGTCAGCAGTCACTGAATCAGAGACTGCTGACCTCCCTTTCAAGCTTAACCAGTGGCATTATGTCAGTATGGCCTTTCTCAGCTAACCAACTCTTAATAAAATCCTCCACATTCTGGATGCGCCAGAGACCCGGGCAGGGTTTGGAATACGTCGCAGGCATCTACTACAATGGTGCCAACACCTACTACGCGGATTCGGTCAAGGGCCGGTTCACGATCTCCAGGGACAATGGGCAGAGCTCGATGACGCTGACCATGAACAACCTCAAGGACGAGGATTCTGCCGTTTATTTCTGCGCCAAACGTAGCAGTAATGGTTATTGTTCTGCTGGTCCTGCTCGTATTGACAATTCCTGCCGTGGCCCCAGCCCCATTGCAGTCCCAAGTGCCCACAATCCCCAGAGATCTTTCCCCGACTCCCAGCTCTGTTCATCAAATCTTCACCAGTTCCTTCCAAACTCTGTCCCTGCTGCCCCAACTCTCGGCTTTCCCCCACTTTTGCCCATTTCACCCAAATCTCCCCCAGCTCCCTGGGCCCTGATTGGAGGAGGCCTGAACTGGAGGCCAGGGGTGAAGGTTTGGGGCCAATGGTTGAGTTTTGGGGCAGGAGCAGGGGAGGGTTTGGGGTCAGTGCTGACCATTGGTGCAGATGGGGGAGATTTGGGACAAAGGGTCAAGGGCTGAGGTTTGGGGGAGGAAGCTGGGTTTGGGGAAGGGGGAGGCCTTGGAGATGGGAACAGGGTCAAAACCATCAGCAGCAGAAGCAGCAGCATCCCAAATATTATCAGCAGCCTTGGCACAGAAATGGGGATGAAGGAAAAAATCCACCCAAATGTTGATTCTTGCATGCAGATCCTGATGTGTACCAAAAATTGGGACCCTTGGACCTCCCCATCTTCGTCCTGCAACTCCTGCCAGTCATCCCAGGTGGATCCCACACCCTTCTTCTGGCATGGCGATGCCCACTTTGGATCCATAACCAATCCAGCTCCTCCTCCCCATATCCCCTTTTTCCCACAGGGCTCAGGGCAGCCGTGACCCTGCTGGAGTGCAGGGGGTCCTCCAGCTGCCCGGGGGGTCCCTGACGTTGCTGTGCCAAACATCTGGCTTCAATTTCACAAAATCTGCAATGTTCTGGATCCGCCAGAGACCCGGGCTGGGGCTGGAATTCGTCGCGGGGATCAACGGTGCTGGTTCCACCCCCAGATAAACTGTGGAGGATTTTATTAAGAGTTGGTTAATTGAGAAAGGCCATACTGACTTAATGCCGCTGGTTAAGCTCGAAAGGGAGGTCAGCAGTCTCTGATTCAGTGACTGCTGACAAGCAAGAATGCCGGATGGCCTTGCTGCAACATGAGGAAAGGGAGGTGAGATTAGTCCTGAATATCTGCAGAATGTAACAGAAGAATAAGCACAAGAATGTAGAAGTAGGTGTAGTTGTTGATATGTAACTAACCAATCCTGAGTTCAACTTTTGCAATATGTATGAAGCTTATTAAGAACTATATTTAACCCGCCGTATTCGATCAATAAATCGGACTTGGATGAACCAATTGGTGTCTGGGTCTCCTTCCTCCGACAAATGGTGGAGAATGCGGGCAAAGGCCGCATTCTGAACGTTCGCTCTTTTGGATTATAAATTCGCCACGGTCGAGGAAGTTGGGTGAGAGTCCTTGCAGCCGGGACGGTGCCGGATTTTAATAGCACCCTTGAGGATTACAACGGTATCTCAAGTCTCTACATGTCGCCGGGAGCCTGGAAGAGCTGCAACAGCGCGCGCTGATATATAGGTATGGATAGGCAAGCGACATACGACCTATTCTCCTCATATTTAGAAAAGCGAGGAGTAAAATGGGTAGATTTAAAAAAGGAGTTACCAGGGTTATTAGCTTATGGTCATTCTAAAGGGATTTTTGCTAACCCACATACAGTTCATGAGATAGCAGAGTGGAAAAAGTTTGGGGATATCCTGTGGGATGCAGTGTTAGATGACGATAAGTCAGCAAAGAAATTTGGCAAGTTATGGCGGGTGGTGTATAATACGTTGCTTCAGCAGGTTTCTGAGAGAAAGGCAGCAGAAAGGGCAACAGAAGCTTATAAGAAGAATATAGGGTATGGTCGTGAGGATGATCCCCTGGCACCTTCTGTAACTCAGATACTTATGCCTAAGAGTCCCCAGCAGAGTGGTGTGCAGGATTTTCCTATAAATAGTGTGGAACCGTCTGCACCTTTACTGTTGCGGGAGGAGGGCAGGCTGGATGGTGGAGGTAAGAGCTCGCCTCCGCCGCCAGCTTCAGGCAGGTTGGATGGTGGGGGTGGGAGCAAGCCAGCTTCACCTCCGTCTCCAGCTTTGCCTCCGCCGCTTCCCCCGCGAGAGTCGGCTTCAGTGGGGGGGGGGGGCCGCTTCCCCCGCGCCAGCCAGCTCCGGTTTCACCCTCGGCTTCGGTGGGGGGGGGGCCGCTTCCCCCGCGTGAGCCGGCTCCGGTTTCACCCTCGGCTTCGGTAGGGGGGGGGGCCGCTTCCCCCGCGCGAGCCAGCTCCGGTTTCACCGGCTTTGCCTCCGCCGCTTCCCCAGTATGAGTCAGCTCCGGCGGGGGGGCTGAATCCCCCGCCGGAAACCTCGGTCTCGGTACCGAAATGCCAGCAGCATAGCACCCTTAAAGAGTCAGATCCTATCCCGGGGGCACACAGTGACCTATGGGGGGAGATGGCTAAGCAGAGAAGGGAAGCTTGGGCTGCTGTGGCAAAAGAAGTAATGCAAATGGGGGATGGCGAGGCGATGGAAGTAGTCTCTAGTCTTTCATGTCCGGTTACATATACACCACAATATGATGCACAGGGGAACCTTACGCATAATATAGCAGCCTATGAGCCCTTAGACTGGAAGCTGCTAGCTCAGTTACGTTCTACAGTTAGTCAGTTTGGAGTAAAAAGTGAACCTGTTAAGCAAATGTTAGATTATCTTTTTAATACTCAGATTTTATGCCCAAATGATTTAAGAGGAATAGTTCGGTTGATATTTACTCAGCATCAGCAGTTACTGTTTAATGCACATTGGCACGCTCTGGTAAATGAGTCAGTTGCTGTACAGCGAGCTCAAGGAGATCCATTACATGGAGTGACAGTAGATGAGCTTATGGGCTTAGGGGCATTTTTGCGTACAGAGGCACAGATGATATCGGGAGCAGATAAGCTTAGAGAGTCTATGCGGTTAGTGCGTGCTGCAATAGATATGGTTAAAGAACCAGGAGGGTTACCGGCTTATATGGGCATTAAACAAGGTAGAGAAGAATCATTTGGGAATTTTATAGACAGGGCAGCTACTGCTATAGATCGGGCTGGTGTCGCAGACTACATGAAGGGGGCGCTATTGAAGCAGTGAGCCCTTCAAAATAGCAATCCAGCAACACAAAGAGTGTTAGCTACTTTGGGGGCAAATTGGACCATTGAGGAAGCATTAGAGCGAATGGCACTAATGCCAACAGCTTCACAGGCATTTATAGTAGATGCAATAAAGGAGCTAGGGTTGGGATTACAAAAGCAAGCAGAGTCTACTCAAAGTCAGGTGTTAGCTGCTCTTGCTCCTCTCCGAAATGGCTCACTGGCGGTCACGCAGAGCTCGAGACCATTCCTCAAGTGCTACAGATGCGGCAGTGAGGGACACACGCGACGAACATGTCGAGCAACCGGGATATGGTGTCACAACTGCCGATCCGGTTCCCACAACTCTACAGCTTGTAGGCGCCGGTCGGGAAACTATCCCAGGAGCGCGCAGCAGGCGAGCCGCGCCCAGACACAAGTAGCCGCCGTGACATCGGAGACACCAGCTGCCGACGCAACATCGCTGCCACCCCCTGTCTGCAACCAGCCACAGAAGGCAGCCTCGGCTTGGACTTATCAGCAGCAGTAGACGTCACATTAATGACGAATCGGCCTGAGAGGATACCAACTGGAGTAAAGGGTCCTCTCATTTTGAATGAACAAAAATGTGGAGCATTGTTATTAGGACGTTCTTCAATAACTATGCTGGGATTATTTGTATTGCCTGGTGTTATCGATGCGGATTATACAGGGGAAATACAAATTATGGTTTACACCCTTTATCCTCCTATTAAAATAACAAAAGGACAACGCATTGCACAATTAATACCACTATCACAAATGACATCTGGTATACCATCATTTACTGGACAAACGCGGGATGAAAAGGGTTTTGGCTCTACTGGTGTTACACTTTTAACTGTGGATTTACAAAATAGACCAAAACAAAAAGTGGAAATTACCCATGGACATCAAAGCATAACCCTTTATGGATTATTGGATACAGGAGCAGATACCAGCATTATCTCTCCAGAAGCGTGGCCACAACATTGGCCTCTGTTCCCATCATCAAATATGCTCACCGGAGTAGGAGGATTTACATTAGCAAGTAGATCACCACTTTTGTTAGTGTGTATTGATGATCAACAAGTATCTGCTGTGTTTTCAGTTGTTCAATTACCACCTACAGTTTCTTGTTTAATTGGAAGGGATATTTTAACACAATTGGGAGTGGTGTTAACTAATCATCACCCTTTGGGGTAATTGCCATTGCTTGGACTTTCCCCATTCCACTCACCTGGAAAACGGATACACCGGTGATGGTTAAGCAATGGCCATTAAAAGGGGAGAGTCTTATGCATGCCCATGAATTGGTAAAGGAACAATATTCACAGGGACACTTACGACTTTCTACGAGCCCTTGGAATACACCTATTTTTGTTATCAAGAAGAAATCAGGGAAATATCGTTTGATACATGATTTACGGGCTGTAAATGAACAGATGGAACCAATGGGGGCCTTACAGCCTGGTCTTCCAAATCCAGCTATGATCCCAGAACACTGGCCACTTTTAATTATTGATCTAAAGGATTGTTTTTTCACTATTAGGCTGCATCCTGATGATATGAAGAGATTTGCTTTTACTTTACCGGCAATAAATCGTGGAGAGCCAGATAAAAGATTTGAATGGACGACTCTTCCGCAAGGCATGCGTAATTCCCCGATGTTGTGTCAGCTTTATGTTGATGCTGCATTACAGCCACTACGTCGCAAGTGGCCAGCAACTATAATATATCATTACATGGACGACATTTTGTTTGCACAGCAACAACCATTCTCCTCTCTGCAGATTGACAGTATTAGAGATACTCTTTCAGCATATTCGCTTGTTATTGCTGCTGAGAAAATTCAGACCACCACACCATGGAAATATCTGGGATGGACTTTAACGGATCAAAAAGTAATACCTCAAAAATTGGAATTACAATTGGACATTAAAACTTTGCATGATGCACAGA